GCCTGCCTGCCTGCCTGCCTGCCTGCCTGCCTGCCTGCCTGCCTGCCTGCCTGCCTACCTACCTACCTACCTACCAAGTGATTCTGAGTGGTTTACAATAACGATGCAATAAGTCTTAAATACTGCTTCAGAAACACTGGTAGATGGAAAAGCAGCATAAAAGAATGGAGAAGCCATATCCAATGGACCTTGGATACTTATTTATGAATGTATTATTTTCTCCTTTAAATTCAGACAAAGAAGAAACTTCTTGCCCAGCCAACCAGGTTTTCCGCTACAATCTAACCACATGCCAACAGTCCTGCCGTTCTCTTTCTGATGGAGATAAGTACTGCTTGGAAGGTTTCACTCCGGTCGATGGCTGTGGCTGTCCTGACAATACCTATGTGAATGAGAAAGGCACCTGCGTGTCTATGTCTTATTGCTCCTGTCATCATCAAGGCTTATATGCACAACCTGGAGAATCTATCATGAAGGATGGCAAGCGCTGGTACGTTGTAAAGACTGATTCCTCTGTTCCAATTTGATGAGAAGATGGGCATGCAACCCATCTTTAAGTCCTAAGTTACATTTGCAGATTAAACCTGGATGGAGAATTCGGCAGCACGTTTCAGGGAACTGAATTAATCATTTGGTACAACTCAGTAGGATGTTCTTTTTCCAAATTGTCAACAGATAGAACTAATTATATAGTACGTACATGTTGAGAATCACTACACTGTGTAGTACTTTAGAAATCCTTCAGTAAGGGTGGTCATGAAACACATATATTGCAAGTGCAACCTTATACCCATAAATGGTCTATTTAAAAGTATGTCCTTTAATTAGTAAAAATGGTGGCTTGGCCACGCCCCCAAACCTGTTTTCCCGTCACAAGCATCATCAGAAGCTTTTTTAAAAAAAGTTTTCCCCCCTGCCAGCTCAGGCTTTAAAAGCTTTAAAAAGTAAGAGCGGGCCGGAGGGAGGGGGCAAACAAACAAACTCACTTTTCACCTGGGAGATTCAGCAAAGGATAAAAACAAATGCTGTCGCTTTAAATCAGAACTCAGCGTGCCTGGTTGTGGAATTCTGGAAGTTGAAGTCCACAAATCTTAAAGCTGAAACTTTGGAGTCCTGCTTTAAATAGAAAAGCTGCTCAGGTTTGCAAAGTAATATTCAGCAGTTGGAGGGGGGTTGCATCCCACAGAGGGATGGGAGAAAGAAAGGAAGGAAGGAAGGAAGGAAGGAAGGAAGGAAGGAAGGAAGGNCTGCTGATCTAGCAGTAGCCTGCAGTGCTGCATTTAACCACTGCGCCACCTTGGCTCACTATGTAGCCAAGGATGTAATGGGGAAGGATGAAAGAGCAATAAATAAAAAAATAAAGGTATCACATACACACAATGTGATAGAAATTGGGAGGGGGGAATGACAGGTGAGAAGGACCAGAGCAGCCAGATCCTATTTTTACCAGGATCCCAGAATCCTGAGAAATATGCAGATTACATTCCCCCCCCACACACATCACGGAGGTCTCAAAATATCTTGGCAAGCTCTGGTTGGCTGGAAACGGGCTAGTCATGGGGGGAGGGATGGATTGGCGGCAACCTACATCTTATTTTTGTATCCCGTGCACATGTAATTTCAGAACTGGCTTGACTTTACTGCAATCAACACTCTTAGTAAAAGACCACTTTGCTTTAACCAAATGGAGTTGAAGGCTTTTCTTTCTTAAGTGATCGGGGCAGGCCTGACAGAGTGGTTGTGAAAAGGAGTGTATGTTTAACGTTTGTACACAGATGCACATGAGATTGGAATGTATAAGCTCATGGGATCTGATGAGGACAGAAGAGAAAGAACTTGTACCTAATGGAGCTGTTTATTAGACCCATAAATGCTCACCTTATTCTTTTTACTTCTGCTTCTTTCCGACAGTCTTCACCCAGTGCTATTTTTACAAAATACCACCCTAAAATGCTGATTCCTAGGTCAAAACTATCCATGCTTCAGAGTGTGGGTAGACTAAAATAAGCTGTATATTCTAAAACAATCTGTAAATTTGCTATATAATTTTAAAATTAAATGAAAAAGAAATATTACTTTGTAAGTCTAATTTATCTTAAGTATATTTTTCATTTTGATACTGAAAGAGCTTGAATTGCTATGATTAGTTTGTCAACTTCAAAACAGATCAGGCCTGCCGCAGCCATCTTTCTGTTTCTCAGCTTGCCACACAGTATGGGAGGGAGAAGTGGTCTGGAATGTCAGATAGACCAGTGGTCTCCAACCTTGGCAACTTTAAGACTTGTGGACTTTAACTCCCAGAGTTCCTCAGCCAGCAAAGCTAAGAGGAGTTGTCAAAGAGATGCCAGGATACCTAATTGGACAATGTGACCTGTGACAATAAGGGAGGGAGTTATCTATTCTTTAATTATACTGAAACTGCAGGAAATAGTTAGATCCGGCTCCTTTCTCTCTCTTTCCTTCCGTGCCGCCAAGTAAGATAGTTGTTACAATGCCAGCTCTGAGGCCTCTCATCAAACCCAATATTGTCAAAAAGAGGACCAAGAAGTTCATCCGTCATCAGTCTGATCACTATGTCAAAAACAAGCGTAACTGGTGTAAGCCAAGAGGTATTGACAACAGAGTTTGCAGAAGATTTAAGAGCCAGATCTTGATGCTCAACATTGGCTATGGGAGCAATAAGAAAACAAAACACATGCTTCTCTCGGGATTCCGGAAATTTCTTGTTCATAATGTCAAAGAGCTGGAGGTGCTAATGATGAGCAACAAGTCATTTTGTGCAGAAATTGCTCATAACGTTTCATCCAAGAACCGGAAGATAATTGTGGAGCGAGCAGCTCAGCTTGCTATCAAGGTTACCAACCCAAATGCCAGACTGCGCAGTGAAGAAAATGAATAGTTTGTCTTGAACAACTATATTTAATAAAGTAAAGTTAGATCTGGTTTTGTTTTCATCTGTGATGAAATGATGTACTCAATAAAACAGTTCTTTGAGAAAACTGCAAGTCTTGGAGTGCTCAATTGGTTGGGTTCATTAGTTGGAACCTTGACATAGTTCTTACAGTTTGTAGAGAGACAGAAGCCTATGACCTGTTGATTCTCCTTGCTCTCTTAATAATTTTTATATATAATTTGTCATGGTGATTGGATAATTTTTCCAGTGATTCATATCCACAGGCTTTCAGAACTGGAGGGTTTCACTCTCTCGTGGTATTTATGTTATGGCTTCTCTCAATATCTCTAGAAGAATTGGAACAAGGTGCTGCCCTGCCTAAACTTTTGCCAGGATTTTAATATTCAGAAAACAGTAGGAATATACATGGATATCAGAAAATAACCTGAAGCCAAAAGAGAGCCTGTTTCTGTTTAGCTACCCAGCTCACTCAGATAGTGAGGGTTGAGAAATGTATTTCAACCTTTGCCTTAGAATACATTGGAATAGAATAACAGAGTTGGAAGGGACTGTGGAGGTCTTTTAGTCCAACCCCATGCTCAGGCAGAAAACCTTTTCAGACAAATGGTTGTCCAATCTCTTCTTAAAAACTTCCAGTGTTGGAGAATTCACAACTTCTGGAGGCAAGGCCACTGGTTAATTGTTCTAATTGCCTAAACTTCTTCTTAGTTCTAGGTTGCTTCTCTCCATCCACTGCTTCTTGTCCTGCCTTCGGGTGTTTTGGAAAATAGCTCCACTCCCTCTTTGTGGCAACCCCTGAGATATCGGAAAATTGCTATCATGTCAACCTTAGTCCTTCTCCATTCCAGGCTACATATATCTATTTAAAAGGGAAATGTCTTTTTAATGTGTTTGGTCGTTAATCTATCCATCTGCCTGAAAATATCTTCTGAGCTTATCTTCTATCTGCCATGCAGTAAGTAGAAAACAAAACAAAATAAGAATTCTATTCTAAAGGGTCTGAGATGTAACAATGAGCGTCATTGAGAAGTATAGTTTACTTTGTACTGGACAGGAATGTGCAAATCAAAATTTTGCTCTTGAACAGTTCACTCAATAAATGTGAGAGATGATTTTTCTCCCTAGACTTGTTCAAAATAAGAACAGTATGTGATAAAAAGAAGTGATTGAAATGACATCTCTCAATCATCATACTGCTCACTCAGTGGATTTTCTCACTTAAGCTGTTACAATGTAATCAGGGTTAACTGGAGACACAGTTTCTGTAAGCAAGTCAATCAAGATTAGGCTAGAAGCAACACCAGAATGTTTCCTTCCTGCCTTCCTTACAGGATTAGNCAGGCAGAATCAGCAGAACTCCGATGCGATGGATCCTCGCAGTGATGGATGGAAGCAACAGGGAGCAGGCAGGCAGAAAGGCAGCAGGAACAGGTAAGACACTGGACTGGACTGTGGAGGGACAACAAGGCTAGGGTCACTAAGCAGGTCTGGAGAGGGGTGGCGGGGGGGGAAAGCTAGGCCGCCTTCACCGCCAGCTTGCAGTTTTTGCAAAAGCTAGGTGGTTACTGCCAGCCCGCGACTTCGCTAGGGAAGGCCTTCGCAAGGTAAGGAAGGCCTTCCCTTGTGAAAGCTAGGCTGCCGCTGCCCACCCGAAGCCTCCTGAGTCCCGCTGCCAGGGCTTAGTTGCTTACCTGAAGCAGCAAGCTCCTGGAAGGCGAAGGCGAAATGGAGGTTAGACTCAAGCAGCGCGAAGCTTTTAAACTTAAACTTTTTGCCCCCAGCCCGCTCACTGATTGGCTGGACTCCAGCCAATCAGTGAGCAGCAGGCTGGGCTGGCTTAGTGCGGATGGGCGAGGGAGCGAGGGAGCAAGCAAATTGTGAAAAATCAGGACTGTCCCGCCAAAAGTGGGACATCTGGTCACCTTACCCATAATGCAATCTGCCCCCCCCCAGTGTACATGAGCACATGAGAGGTATGACCCCCCATTTTTTGCATGCTTTTTCACCCTCCCCAGGCTCCAGAGGCTTTATAGGAGCCTGTGGAGGGCAAAAACAGCCTCTCTCCCCCCCGGAGGCCCTCTGGAGGCTTCAGGGGCCTTCAGGAGGCTTCCCTGAAGCCTCTGGAGGACTGAAATGGACCCTACAAGCAAACCAGTTTGCTTGTAGGGCTGTTTTTAGTCCTCCGAAGGCTTCAGGAGAGCGTCCGGAAGGTCCCTAAAGCCTCCAGAGGGCTTAAACTGACCCTACGAGAAAACCGGAAGTCTGTTCCCGAACTTCCAGTTTGCCCATAGGGCCAGTTTTTTGTGCTCTGGAGGCTTCAGGGAAGCTCCTGAAGCCTCCAAAGGTCCTCCAGGGGGGCAGGGGAAGCTCTTTTTGCTCTCCCCAGGCTCCTATAAAGCCTCTGGAGCATGGGGAGGGCAAAAAAGGCCTTTAAAAAAGGCTGAACTCAGCTGGCCAGTGCACACATGCACCCTGGCCAGCTGACAGGCCAACGCCTCGCGTTCCCTGACAAATGGCTCCATGTGCCACCTGTGGCACATGTGCCATGGGTTCACCATCCCGGATGTAGGCCATGT